CCTTGCCATTGGCCACGAGTTCGCCGACACAGTCCCATGTCTTACAGTACAGGAGACCGCGTTGTGTGTTGAGGAAAGGACGGGGAGAACCGCCCTCTTCTTTCTTCAGCAAATAGATCTGTGTCTCAAACTGATCGCACGGTTTGAATGTTCCGGGCTTTCCGAGAGCCATACCTCGCCGAAGCTGTTCTCTCTTGAGTCCCCGCAAAAGCGCCCCCAAGTTGTCGCCGGCCTGCGCCTCGTCCAACGTCTTCTTAAACATCTCAATACCGGTGATGATTGTCTTGTGAGCCCTTCCGTACCCTAAGATTTCGCATTCCATGCCCTTTTTGATGCGACCCCTGTCTAGACGTCCGGTCACTACAGTTCCTCTGCCTTGAATGCCATAGACGTGTTCGATAGGCATTATAAACGGCTTATCGATGTCTCGTTCCGGAAGATGGAAGTGCTTGTCAATCGTGTCCAATAGAGTGAGAATAGATTCGCGACCTATTTCTGGCAGTTTTCCTTCCATCGCAGCCAAAGCCGAACCAAAAACAAAGGGCACGTCATCTCCTTTGTAGCCGAGTTCTGTCAACAGCTCTCGTAACTCCATTTCGACCAATTCGGTCATCTCTTTGTCGGCGGCGTCCACTTTGTTCACATACACCACAATATCGTTGATTCCGATCTGTTTGGCGAGAGTCAAGTGCTCTCTGGTCTGAGGCATCGCTCCGTCGGTGGCGGCGACCACCAGAATAGCCGCTTCCATTTGGTTGGCGCCAGTGATCATGTTCTTGATGTAGTCGGCGTGTCCGGGACAGTCCATATGCGCGTAATGGCGGCCATCCGTCTGGTACTCCACGTGCGCTACAAACCAAACACAACTCGTTTAAGACACTCTCGTAATAGTAAAGGATAGAGAGGGGGAGGGGAAGGGAGGGCAGTGTAATGGATGGCCAACCGGTGTTGATAGTGATGCCACGCTTGCGTTCTTCGGGCGCGTTGTCGATCTCGTCGTACTCCTTAACTTTGGCCAACTTTCTCTCGGCCAACACTCGGGTGATGGCGGAGGTGAGAGTGGTCTTGCCATGGTCAACGTGACCAATGGTGCCGATATTCATATGCGGTTTATCGCGTTTATATGCTTTGGTTCCGCCCGGCATCGGAGGGCCCGCCGGCGCCGCCGACAGACACCTCTGCGACAGACATCCCATCGATAGGTATTTGGTTAGAGACGAGCCGTTCAGACCGGATCTCAAACACAGCATCGCTGAAGACATGACGTTTCGGACCAATGGTTTTGATTCACTGATGGATTATCTCTGCGATGAAAGCGTGAAAAACAACAAACATTTCATCATTTTTTGCACACATTTTGTTTTAAACGATGTTTTGAATTGAATTTCGGGATAAATATGTTTAATGAATGACTGATTAAAACACTTGTGATAATCACTCACTAATACTAATCGTTATTATTATTAGGTTTTAAATAATTAGTGAATTAAAAGACAAAATCTTACCGAAAATGTGATCCAAAAGTTTGTTTTCATTGAAAACATACCGAAAAATAGGGACTCATTTGAAAGCCAATAGATGTCGACAAATAAAACACATCTTTTAATCACAACTATATTTAATATTTTTAATTCAAACAAAAGTTTACTAAATATTTGATAATTTTAATTTTGTTTAATTTTATAATTGATTTATATTCTGTAAATTTTTAATGAAATAAAACCACAATTTTTATGTTAATAATAATTTTAATCATTTATTAGACAATTGTTTTATGTTATAAAAGGGATTGAAAATATAATTACAATTAATAATTAATAATTTAATGATTTAGTTGTTTGTCTATAAATGATTTGAGAAGATTAACAAATTTATTAATACATTATTATTATTATATTATTATTTATATTTAAAATTTTAAATTAAATGTATAATTAATTCCACTATAAATACAAATATATTAATTATTAATACAAATGGAAAATCTCATATATTATATATAACCAGATTTATGGCTAAAATTAAAATTAATTAAAGATAACTTATAAATAAATATAATTTTAAATAATTTGTTTTTCAAAATGCTATAATATTTTTCATATTTACTATTGAGGTTTCGGGAGAAGTGTTTCTTTACATTTTGTATTTTAATAATTTTTTAATTATTTTCAATATTTTGATTTTAATGTCAATTTCTTTTATACACAATTGATTCATTAAAACCAATTCAAAACAAATTTTAATTATAGTTTAATTAATTAAATTATTATATAAATTTACAAAATATTTAGTGATTAGAAATATACAGTGGATCTAATAAATAGATGATTGAGTTATTAATTAAATTTAATTGTCTTAAACAAGCGATCAATTGGACTAAAACTGTGCCACAGGAGAGACTTTATCGGTGTTTCCCATTCTTAAGTCACATTCAGCAGCACTTCAACAACAATTCATTTTGAAAAGTAACACACATTTACTTTTAATATACAATTCTGATAACAATTTTAAAATAAAATTCATTAGTAGTTTATAAAACTACAAATCTTTAAAATCTAATACTCTACTAATAATCTGGGTATTATTAGTTTCAAATAATCATAATTTTCAAGTATTAATAATCATTTTACTAAATAATGATTTGTACGGTAGTATCGGATCAGTTATCGTTATAATATTTCTAATTAAGTTAATGTAAAGTTAATTTTGCGTATAAATCAATGATTTTATATTAAATGTCTTCAATACTGTGTATATAAAAAACAAGTAAAATGTGATTTTTTGCTACAATACTGTATACTGTATATAAATACAGGTACACTAAAAACGATTCATTAATTGTCTACAAACGGAAAGTTGAGGCAATTCTACAGAATAAAGCCTCGCTGTCTGTGTGTGGCATCAAATAAACTACAACTTATTGGACCTCTATTTTTGGTACTTTGTATTGTTGAAGAAGTGGTGTCTTATGAACAGATGCCTCGTGTCGTCTCAACTTGTCCTTAACGATGAAACTTTTGCCGCAATTCTCGACTTCACACTTAAAGGGACGAGTATTGGTGTGTCGTCTCACATGAATGGTTAGTTTGTTGTTATATTTCGATACATACGTACAGTTAGGGAAATGGCATTTATAGAGTCGGACACCGGTGTGAGTCT